CCTGTTGTTCCCCATCCAGATCCTCACAGCCTCCAGACACTGAGATAGGACACCCACAGCACTTATATTTACATTAAACTATGGTTTGTAAGCCCATGGTTTATTATCACAATAGCTGGGTTTGTACAAGAATTAAGTCAAAATCAACAAACCATCTTATGGTTTAGCACAGTGTGAACTAGCCTATCTCCAGAGTCTAGAAGGGGAAATTAAGTTTATATTAACCTCAGATGTGAAATGTGTCATCTAGGACCACAAAAATGACAAGTAAATTTTTACGAAACATGCCTACAACTTGCGATTTTAAATTCTGACTTGGCCATAATTTCAACCAATGGCCCAGATTCAAATGTCTCACTAGCATGCCTGAAAAGCTCCTTCCTTTCCCCTCAAGCAGGGTAATGCTGAAACCCAATAGACCTGCCCAACATCCTAATCATATATATGCATGGATGCTGTAAACCATCATTACTCAAGTACCCAAACTGATAATCTGAAGCAGTCATGCAGGAGATTGTTCACAGGCAACCGATAGAGGAAATATTCTCAGAAAATATAAAAGTTAAAATGCAAACAGGGCCATGGCACAGCTTCTGATCTTCAGAGAACATGAGTGCTAATGATAAACATGAAAAATGAAGGTAAGGGTCTGAAATAGAGATTAGCAGATAAAATCTACATTTTTGATGTAAAAACTAAAGTTGGATCTCAAAGCTTTTTTTCCCCTGCAGACTGCTTCAAAATCTGACAGCCACAGCTAGCCTCTTCCCTATAAACTGAAGAACATATATAGCCTATATTTTAATAATAATTTCTCTTTAGCAGTGATATCAAACTGTATATAATATATACAGGCCTTACACCAGGCTGCTGAGAAGATCCCCTTCAAAGGAAAAAGTCTTAAAGAAAATTAATAGTTTGCACTAGCCCCTTATTATGAAAATCAGAGAACTTACACCACGTTTTGGTTAGCTTCAGTAACCTGGCCCTCATCAAAATAGCATCAATCTCCATTATATAAAAAAGATAAGTAGAGGGCCATGTACCAATATTCTTAACGGTTCTATAACAATTTTGTGCTTCATCTGGATGAAATTGAGAATTTGTACTTCATTATATCTTCCAACTGCTGCACCAATTAATAAAACCTAGCCCAATCTAGTACCAACCAGGTGTGTAAAAACTCAACTCTATCACTGGGGGCTTATGAGAGTTTAATTATAATACATCTGAAGAGCATTAGATTGGGGAACAGTGAATTAGTTAATCTTTTTCTTTAAACGTATTAATGCTACCTTTTCTAAGTCCCCCTGGGAAAAGAGATCTGAATTTTGTAACAAAAGTTTGAAATCAATTTTTTTAAATTCAAAACCTGACTTTCAGAATTCTAATGGCATCTTCTATACTATACAGAAATGCCTTCAGAATTCCTATTAAAATCACAATTATTTAGTGGCATTTTAAAAGATTTTGTAATACATTAATATAATTCATATAATATGAAACTACAAATAAAAAATAATACAAGTTACAATAAAGAGATTCCCTATTACCATAAAAAATATACCTCCTTAAAAATGATATCCAGAGTCAAAATAGTACCTGGTGTTTTTCCCCAGACACCTGAAAGTAATTATTCGTTTCAGGAAATGAACCACATGATTATGTGCAGACCTACTATAAATGATGCTCCTATGTGCCTATTGAGGTACATTTAAGTTTGAATGTGAGAAACTATATGAATATCCAGATCAGACTATCTTAATTTCCTGGCATTCTTAAATATATGCAGTTTAGCCTCTTTTTAAAAATGAGATGAAGTTGAAGGAACTTCAATACAGAAGGAACCCTCAGCAGCATCTAAACACACAACAAAACTATCAGAATGAAGTACAATTCCAGTCAAAAGGATTTGAATTGAATTTACACGTTAAAACTAAAAAACGTCGATGTATTACTCTCACATCTCTCACGCCAGCCCCAAAAAGGCAATTAGCACAACAACCCTTTCCACAATAAAAATCTCTGCAGGCGCGGGAAAGAAGAAGATTCTGCAGAAAGCGAAGATCGCTTCCGCCATCATAGAGACCTGAACAGGTAAGGCGAGAGAGACGGGCTAATAAAAACGAGCGTGCAGGGCTCGGTGCTCATCGTCTCCAGTTGCTCTCCTCTACACAATGAACCAAGAACGAAGAACAGCAGGCCTCAGCCCTCCTAGTATTAAAATCGGAGAGGCAACCGGGGGCCAGTTTGGGTGGCTGGGTCTCCACCCTCCTTTATGCGACCGAGAAAGGCCTGCAGAAAGGATCCCGGAGCTTGACGGGCGGGGCTGGCACCCAGCGCGGCAGGGAGCTCCGAGACAGCGACCATCCTTCGCGGATAGCCTGGCGGGAGCGAAGGCCTCTCTCACCTCAGACACTTCGTCCTCGTCGCTGCCGGATCCACCGCCGCCCCCACTTCTTAGGACAGCGGCCGCCAGTTTAAAGTCGAGGGCGGCAGCGGCGGCAGCAGCCCCGGCCTCTCCCGAAGTTGTTGCCGAGCCTATCGGCCCACAGGGCCCTGCCTCTCCGAAGAGGCGCACGGCCCGCAACCCCAACGGGTTAGGCCCGGCCGTGGAGGCCTCAACGATGGCGGCCGGGGCAGTACGGGGCGTCACCGAGTCTATTTCCTCATCGCCGGTGGGAGTCGGGGCGGCTGTGCCGTCCGTGAGCATCGCGCGTTGATCCAAGCTTAAGCCGTGGGAGGAGGGGGGGGAACGCCGTCTCCGTCCCCTCACAGCAGCAGCGCCACTAACTTCTCACACCCTATCTAACCCACAGTCACCGCGCTGCCCTCGCCAACCCAGTTCGTTCTTTCCATTGGTCACATTCGCTCGACGGTCCCAGCTCCATTGGACACAATCGTTGTCACTCTACGGTCTCGTCACGCGCTCCTTCACCCTCCCGCCAGCAAGATGCTTTGAGAGTACACGCTGAGGCGGTTTAGACTGCCCGCCCACCACTTAAGTCCTGCAGGCTTGCTTCCTGAAACTGCTTCGATATTATTAGACAGCTGCCATGTCAATCAATTACTAGCCTCCAAATTTTGTTATCTGAATGGTTAAGACAACGATATTTCGAAATACCTTTAAGCTTGATTAAACAGCATAAGCATCAATCATAGCGTCCTCCTCTTGGCGGTGTGCGATTGGTGTATGCTTTCTTTCTTTTCCAACTTCCTCTCTTTCCACTAAAATTTTCAGCAGGGGAAATCAAACTCCCCAACTAAAAAAAAAAAAAAAAGATTGGAGAGAACGTGTGCCTGTTAATTACAGTGCAGTACAGCCTTCTGTCTTTCCACTCCACTTCAAACCATTCCTTAGCAAGAGAGCGATTGGGCTAAAGTCATTTGGAAACTGAGCCTGAGGTCTGATTTGATGGCTGAGTTAACGTATCTTGCTACGCTTCTTGGGGGGATTAACATATTGTGATTCGAAATACTTGTTTTTGTTAGCCAACTGTAGATAAGCAGCCATGGGCTAGTGTGATGTGCGAATTTAATCAGTAACTGTGTTAGCGCAAAACTGTAAAGGATATTGTTTGACCTTTCCAAAGCTAGAAACGTGCTCGCTTTGTGATTAGTTAGACGAGGGCGTTACTCACGCTTGGTAATCTTAGTTACTGCCTAAGGCTTAGTGTGCTGTCCAAACCTGGATTCATAAGCCATTATTGCGCCAGGAAAACGAGGTGGAGGAGCACTAGGCACAGCTATTCCTGGAGCAATGTCTGCTGCTCTGTTTTAGTTTTATTACCTCCCGCATATGCACAAGTACTTAATTCTGTAAACAGAGGAGCTTAGTGAAAATTTAGCAGTTCCAGAAAGTGAGCACTAGAGTTACAGTCTGGGCACTTTGTGGTGTAAAGCAACGTGTGAACCCGGTTGTAGAGGTGATGCACAGAACAGTGCCTATACTGCTACAGAAGCCAGGGAATGCACAGCTGCTTGTTTCCATTCACAAAGCATAGTGTAAGAGACCAAAAAAAATTAATTTGATATTTTGTCAGGTGGAGAGGAAGGGCCCCCTTTATCCAATTATGAGAGAGTGTTGATCATTCTGAAAATCTGGTTTCAGAATAACTTGATCTGAATAACAAACAAATGTAAGTTGAACAGTTCTTTTGGTTGGTTCACCAGTCATTTTTTTCAACCTACATAAATAAAATTATATTTTAGCTGGCTCTGGTTTTTAGTTTCATTGTTTTGGAGTGCGTTTTAATCTGATTAGAGAGTGCCTCAGAAGCCTACACATGGCCAAAAAGCAGATAATATTATAGATAGATAGATCGGTGTGGCAAATCTGGATTCTGTCAAATGCTACTTATAGCTACTTTATTTAGCAGTTCCAGAAAGTGAGCACTAGAGTTTTCTAGTGAACTGATTTTTTGTTGATTTCACCCAATACAGCCAGATACCACAGTTAGCGTGTCCCTGTATCATTGTAATTGTAATATTCACCTTTGTAACGGACGTTTCAAGGTTAACATGTTTAAACCTGAAATGGTTACCTTTTTAGATGGCTGCCCTTAACCCAGGTTCTCTAATCTACAATAAGCCATTGTGAGCAGAATTTGCTTGACTCCTTGTCATTCTGTGTCATAGCTTCCTAACGTGTTCCCATTGTGCTGGGCACTGATTGACTGCAAACCCACAATCCAGATATTTAGTGGGAGCAAGGAACAATTTCTTTTTGGTCTCAAATATGTCAACAGCACTGTTTACAAGCTTCTCCATCTTCTCCTTCTCTGCTCTCTGGATCCCCTTCCTTGCCAGAAAAGTGCAGTTTTCTGATGTTTTGGGGGGGGGGGGAGGAAGCAACTCCCTTGTCTTCTCATCAAGCATGTGACTGTACCTTCAACTCAGGAGCCCAGATTCCAGCTACGAGACAATATCCCATGTCTACTCAGGAATTTGCCACTTTAAAGGAGTTTTTGGATGGCAATTTGAAGAAAGGATTTATTTGCCCTTCCGCCTCTCCAGCATCTGCATATATTTTTCATACCCAAGAAGGATAAGTCCTAGAAGGCAGCTCATATCTATATACTTCTGAACTCTGTGACTATCAGGGATCACTATTCACTGCCTCTTATTTCAAATTTGCTGACTGTCTTCAGCACATAGTTTCACTAAATTGCACTTGACAGGCACTTACAATTTGACCAGAATGAAGCAGGGCCAGGAATATTTAACTGCCTCTGATAACAAGTATGGCAAATTTGAATATACAGAGATCCCTTTTGGTTGGGTTAATTGTGGCATGGTCTACTCCAGATTCATGAATGAAATATTTTCTGATTTTTGGATAAATGTGTTGTGATGTACTTGGATGCCATTCTGATCTTTTTTAGAAGACCCATCTTTGCACGAGACTCACATTCAGAGTGTCTTAGAGCAACTCTGCAAACATAAGCTTTTTGCTAAGGTGATCTCCCCCAGTTGGACTATTTAGGTTATCAGATCTCTGCAGAAGGAATACAAATGGATCCCGTAAACGTACAATCTGTATTCTCATGGCAGACATCTAGAAATGTGAACAACATCCAGCATTTTCTGGGCTTTGCAAATTTTTATAGATCGTTCATCCCTAATTCTGCAGAGCACACAAGACCACTTTCTCAACTTCTAAAGAAAGGAAGTAAGTTTATATGGTCTGCTCGTGAGCAAGCAGCATTCTAGGACTTGGAAAGCCTTTTCTCTTCCTAGCTGCTGCTCGGACATCCAGACCCTTCTCAACAAGCTCAGCATTAGGAGTTGTTTTCCTCTAGGCACTGGAAGTAAAAGGGTTGGGGTGGAGATCTCCTACAGCGTGCATTCCATTCAGATTGTTTCTCCCAGCTGAAATAAACTATGGTATTTTCAGTGAAGAACTGCTTGTGATAAAAGCAGTATTCCAGCAGTAGAGACATTTCTTGGAGGAAGCAACCCATCCAATGCAGGTGCAGTGCGGACTGCAGAAAGCGCAGCCCCTCATGCCTCATTAGGTTAGACCCCTCAGGTTTGGGATAGGGAAAGAGCCAGTAAATCTGCTAGATTGAATTGGAATGCAATAGAGTAATGTAATTCGTATATCAGGGCTCGGATGGATGACCTTCAGGGACACCACAGACTGTTCTTCACCTTTCCTTATGATGATTTGACAGTTGCTTCACAACAGGAGTTTATATTGCAACTCTACCATGATAATAGTTGTACTATAGTAGTAGTGGGAAGTCTGTAGTTGTTTTGCATGGTGAAGTGACTGGGACATCTTTGATGCAACTGGTTCTGATGCAACTGGGGGCAGGGTGTAGAGAAAGGTGAAGATAACTTTGGAAAGGAATGCAAGAACCATTACAAAATAAAAACAACAGTAAATGACATCTCAGCCCTGGGAAAGGTGGGAGCATGAGAAAATGATTCTAAATAGCCCCACCTTGATTCTGAATGGTAAAGGAGAAGGCAGATGAAAACTTTGGCAGGCTTTCAAAATTCTGTTATTGTACCCTCCAAAAATAAAGCAGAATTCTTATCATCCATGTGGTGTCTGTTTCCTGACCCGGCCTACCTTGAAAGGTTGAGAATACTACACAAATGTGAAGTTTCAAAGGCCCAGTAAAGGTGGTGGTTTTAAGAGCCTTCCTAAACACTACAAAGGTAGAAGCTAATCATACCTCTTGGGGGAAGCATATTCAACAATGTGGGTGCTGCCACTGAAAAGCCTGCTTCCTAGTCCAAATCCACTTCAATTTCCCATGGGGGTGGAATCTTTAGCAGGCTCCTTATGTTTGGACCAGACAGATAAAATCATAAATGGCAAGCAAGTCACTGAAATACCCTGGTACTATGCTGTAACATGTTTTATAGGCGATAATGAACACTTTGAATTGGACCCAGAAGCCTGTGGGTAAGCAAGGCAACAACCTCAGAATAGATGTAATTCTGCAATAGCAGATTCACCCAACAACTGCTGCTACAGTTTACACCAACTGCAGCTTCCAAGTTATTTTCAAAGGCAGCCCTGTGTAGAGTGTGTTGCAATGTGTTGCAACTGAGAGCCAGTTTGGTGTAGTGGTTAAGATGCTGGCCTAGAAACCAGGAGGCTGTGAGCTCTAGTCCTGCCTTAGGCATGAAAGCCGGCTGGGTGACTTTGGGCCAGTCACTATCTCTCAGCCCAACTCACCCCACAGGGTTGTGGGGAAAATAGGAGGAGGAAGGAGTATTAGGCATGTTCGCCACTTTATTTATTAAAAAAATAATAAAGGTGGGATAAAAATCTACAAAATAATAAAATGAATAGTGCAGTTTGCAAGTAGGGCTGCAATGGGTGTGCCAGCAAAAGCTCTTGAAGGCCACATCACCATAGGTTCACCTGCTGCTTAAGCTGAGCTACAAATTCAGAGGATCCCCAAGTCATGGGCCAGCTCCTTTGGAGGAGTGAGATTCAGTTAAGAACAACTCCCAGAGCCAATGCTATCAGGTAACCCTGATAGCCATACAGCAACTATGAATTCCCCCCACCACCATGTCATGGTTGGATGCAGTCTTATTTCAAATGGATCTGGTATTTACCAGCAACAGCCTGAATCCATGGCAACTGACAATTTGGCCACTGACTAAGAAGAGGGAAACTGCACTGACGTGTGAGTCCTTCTTTTCTTGAAACAGACTTTGCAGCATCTCTCCCATCTCTTTCTCTACCCTTCACAGCCACAATAGGAATTCCTACCTTCTCCTCCCTGGAGCCCTCTCCTAGACCTCTCCCTTTCTCAGTCCACTCCAGTCCATGCCACTCACACATCATGCTGG